CATTTATTGAGAAGGCACTCAAAAAGTTTTCCATGACGCCCGATTTGCAGATCGCCGCATAAAGGAATAAATTAATAGATTGATGAAAATCACTCGAGCTACTTAATGACAATTTTATGTAGCTCGTCAAGTTGTCGTTTTGCGTTTTACGATTGGCTCAATTTAAAGGCGAAGGACTATAGAGATTTTAATGATTAGCTCTGGATGGCAATTAAAATCCAAAAGATTTTAATTAATCGAAGGGAACTGTGTCTTTTGTTTAAAATATAAATTCAATGAAATTTATAAACAATAGCACAGAAGTTTTTGAGCATTAATCAGCAAAACAGAGGAGTATAAATTTAATGTTTGGCTATCAATTCAAATTCTGAACGACGAAGATTCAGTTTTATGTACCAGGTGTAAAGATATCGTCATGTCTGCATCTAAGGACATAATTGATAAATAATAATACTAATAATGGGATTCTTCTTTGTCTACTCTCGTTTCGCTCAAAGTTGAAGATAAATGGCATGCAAAGATATACTAGAAAAAAAACGAGAAAATTCATAGTAATCACAGCTTGAAATAAACGGAAAAGATTGTTTAAATTGAAATAGTCCGGGAGAGAGGAGACCATCATCAAGATATAACCATTTCCCACTTCTGCTCTCAGTCTCTCTGTCTGTCTGCCGTATTTAACATTCACATCTCTCTCTCTCTCTCTCTCTCTCTCTCTCTCTCTCTCTCTCTCTCTCACTTTGTGGTATTCCTATGTAAAGTGCTTCCGTCAAATGGCGTCTGACAAACTTGGTAAATGGCCTGCACGCCCCGCCACATAAAGTGGGCGGTTACATTTGGGAAGGCCGCGAAATCTGAACGCAAGAATCAAATTGAAATGACGCACTTAATGGCATTTATGGTTTATGCGCATTTTATTATAATGTGACTTCGATTCTCCATCGGGCTGTCTGCAATATTTTCCACTTTTGGCCATTTTATTTGGTTAAAGAGAACGGGACCGAGTCGAGGGTTGACCAACTGTCGCCGACTGCAGAGTCACCCTCTCGCACGACTCTTTTTGGCCAATTGGTAATTTTGTTATTAGTCACGCTCTTTGCGCTTCATTAATGTTCATTACACACAAATGAACCCACATCGATTGATATTTCTCGTCGTCTGGCGGTTACAAATGCCCGTTATACATACATATTCTATCTAAATATATATATATATTTTTTTTTTTGTACGAATTGCGGTTGACATTTTGCGGTGTTTTATTTAGCTGGCTGGCGGTTTTTTTCTATTTTTATTTATGGCTTAAAGGGTTGCTCGCCTTTTGCATTTAATTATAAAAATAAACAAACACACACACATACACGTTTTACAGTGTATTTATTTATATAACCACATACATATATATATATGCATGCATATGGCAAACTTTGAACTTTTGGGTTATGCGCCACATATGCTTGGGTCGAGTTCGAGCCAAGTTCGAGGGGTTGCCCGACGTTCACAAGAAATAAGAAAATAAAATTTATTGACGCTGCTTTCTGCACGCTTAATTGAACATTGGCAACTTGAAAGGCCGATCGACTGATTGACTGAGCCACTGAAACGTAATTTTTTATGACCTTTGAAAGTTTGAAGCCTGTTCTTTTACTGTTGTTTTTTTTCTTTCTCTTCTGCTGAATTCCCGGTAGCGTGTTATTTAAATGGGCATTTCATTATGCGCCTAAACAGCTGGAAATGTTGTTTGGCTCCTTGCTGTAGGTTTATTGAAAATGCAGGCGGCTTTTAGTTTTCCTTTTCGTTTTCATTTGATTTTTCCTCTTTTTTTTTTGTTTTCATATTGTTTATTTTTGGGTTAATTTGGTTATCTAATATAAAATTGAACGAGCCCAAGGGGCTGCCAAAAGGGTGGATTTTGGTCGGGGGGTTGATTATGCCACTTGAGCGGCTTAGGTTAAAACCATATGGTTGGCTTCAGTGCACTTTGAAGTGGCATGGAAAATGCGATAAGCATATTAATATTCTTTTTATTTAGTTATTTTTTGTTTGTGCAAAAACTTTGATTGAAAAATTGAAAAAAAAAATGCTGTTATACTGAAAATGGGATAAGCTGGAGAAAATATTTGCTGAAGAGCCTGAATAATCGAATGTGCAGAAGCAAAAAGCGGATTTGGATTTTATAACTCAAAGCGAAAACTAAAAAAAAGAAAATTGTTTGCGTAATTCTATTATCATATAATACTGTATATGTTTTTACTGAATTTTACTAGCTGAACTGAGATTTTCATAGCCTCAACATGAGCTATAAGCTGTTTTCTATTCTTATTATTAATAAGGCTATGAACTTAACTTAATCTCACCCTTATTGTATACTTTTTTGTTTTTTCAAATAGCTTAAGTATCTTTGTGCCTCTCATTTAATACTAAAGCACTCAAACTGAACTTTTTGTCGCCAATTTCCTGATTGATTTCATTTTGTTTTTGCTTGCCATACAAATTATTTGCTTTCCTACCCATTTGCATTCGCTTAGTTCTTCTATTTTATTTAATTTGCACAATTGCCGCTCATTAAGCGTAGGTAAAATCCAAACAATTAATAAATTTTTAAGTGCAACGCAAATTATGCACCTCTTGACCGACCTCAAGACCCCTCCACAAAACCAACGCTCGTCAACTGTGGGGCGCACCTGCAACCGCTCTGCACACAATACATTATTAATTTAACTACCCCTAGCTAGCTGACTCTGCCCCGACGCTACAAACACGCACAACAAATGGGGCTTAATTTGCCAAATGGTTGTGACCCCTTGCGCCCTTCGCCCTGTTTGGGTAGCTTAAAGTTTTTTAGTGTTTATACCCTGTACACGAAGTGCAAACGAGTTAATTAGTTGCATGTTATTTGAATCGATCCTATTGAATCCTGAAATATTTCTTCGTATATTGCGAAATTCTTAGAGATAGATGGCATATAGACCCCAAATATCAATAGTTCCTTAAGTCGCAGCTTGAAATTCTCGGACTTACATTTTTCGAGTCATCTACGTGATAAGCCATAAGACTCGCTTCGCCTGCGTACAGGGTATAAGTGCACCCAACTTTTTTCTTTTGTGGGTGTTGCAGAAAATATTAGACGCGCGAATGAACAAAGATGCAAAATACCTTGACTGGAAAATTTGCATAGATGGGTAAAGCACAACTCAAAGTAAACGAACGGAAATAAAGTAAAGTGAAATAAAGCACAAATGCAAAGGGAAGCAAAAGTAACAACCGAATTTCCAACTTTGTGCAAACTTAAGCTTAGTGAAAGGCCAGCCAGCAACAAAAATTCATTAAAACTTTGCATTGTGTTTCAAAAATTACGAAATAACAACAAATACAGCAACAACTTCTTATAGAAAGAAAGAAAAACAACAAGAACAACAACCATCGAGAACTAGCACATTGCGAACTAATTTGTCTGGCGATTTAGTAAAGATTTGGGGCCCCAAAATACTCCCAGCCAAAGGCTGTTGATGACGCGACAAAACCCAATTAATACGCCAGACAAATAAAATGGTCAGCCCAATCTGGCAAGCCAAAGACAAGTCGGAAAAACCGTTTAGATACAGCAATAACCCAATGTGTCTACACACAGCCAACCAACACACACACACACAACAAACACACGCAACGGTGCATAATTTTCTTTTTTCCTTGCTATTTTCGTTTGTTTTGCTTGGCACCACATCTAAGTATATCTTAATATATGTAGATGTTATGTGGTTTTAGGAGCGGGCCTTGTCGCGCGTCTATGTCGCCAGGACTGTCTGTCTGTCCCTCTGTCCGTCTGTTTGTCCGTCTGTCTGTCTGTCCGTGTGTCTGCGTGTGTGTGTGTGCGTCTGCTGAGTATTTGTGCTTGTGCGTGGTGCCGTTTGTTTGCTTAAGTTAACCAGAAAGTTTTCTTAAAGATTTACGCGTAAGTTTTACGTGATAAAACTTTTATCACTATGACATTTTCTTCAGGATGATGCTGAAAGAAGTCACGGAGTAGAGCTTTAGTCGGGCCAATTGACAGTGGCTGTCGATATAGAGGATTCTATCGAAATGATACTGTATAAACATTTGCTAAGTGACGAACAGAATGCGTTGTTTGCTTTTGCTCAATTATTTTAACTAGCTGTTAAAACAATGCATTTCGATTGTTTAATCGTAATCGATAACTTTTGATAACTTTGGATCGATTGTTATACTCTCTGTCATGTGTTTTTCAATTACTGATCGAGAAATGGTTATCGATAGAGGAAAGAGTGTGTGTATTTCACATATCGATGAATTTTACATTGCCAATATTCTTCTTCGTGCTTGCTTTTCATATTAGCATTCATTTACTAAATAATCACAGATATGTAAAATATATCACAGTGATACAATTACAATAATCGAAGATTTTTAATCGATAAAAGAAATTTTCAGTATCTCACTTATCGGTCAATTTATCCACAAGCAAAAGTAGGTATCTCGTATATCGATCAATACATCCGCACACAAATATTTTCACAATAACATATTCTTTCTAATAATTTCCGCTTTTTACATCAGGCCCCCCTTGAAGTCGCACCCCTGGCTCTGTGGACACACAACTTGTGATATTTGCCTAAAGATATTGGCCCAACTCGTGTACAACTCATGTTAGTCGTCTTTTGTAGTTATTTGCCAGCTCCATCCCATCAAAGTATTTATGCCCGCTGGCAAGTTGGGGGTAAGTACGTGCCGCTGTTTACTCCTCCCGGAAATCACTTTAGTATTTTGATGGCAGCGCTTATATCATCAGCCCAAGACTCAAGACATAAGAAACTTTTTATTAACATAAATTATGACGGCGCACACACTCACACGCACACACACGCACACACACTCGCTTTGAGGGAGAGATAGAGTCAATAGTCAAGCGTGGCGCAAGTGAGTGCATAAATTTCACTTGGCACAAACTTTGGCCAATATATCTATTAAACGTCGACGGTGCTTACCGTTATGGCGATGTCATGGCTGGCATCGCATGTGTCCAACTTGCGGCGAAAGCGCAGCACGGTGTGGGTGGCATTCTCGTAGCCCAGCATCAGCATGTAATCCTGGGAGGGATCCACGACGGGCTCAGTGTCGCCATTGCGTGTGACGTGTCGATCCTGCAAGCAGAAAGCAGAAAGAAAATTGAGTGTGGTTTGTGGTTTGAATGAAAAATTTACGAAAATATTTAATTTGCAGCATACTTTTGTGCGACAGGCTCCGCGCCCAGCACACGCTTCGGGCGCATATTCCATGTCATTTAACAAAATACACTGAAATTCTGCGACCGTTGTTGCTCGCTTTTTCGCAGTTCGCTCCCAACCGCAGGCACTTTGAAAATCCCCAACTTGTGTGCATAACTTTTACGCAGCATCTGTGCGTTGCGTTTTTTTCTGCCTCATTATACCCTGCATTCATTAAGAGCGCACTGAACGGGTAGAATAGAGTTCTGCAAATGCAAGCTATGACTTTCTATGTATTTCCGCATTTCTAAATATTTATATGATGATTCGGGATTTTTCTAGATTTTTTAAATGAAATACATAAGTAAATATGTATATATGAAATATATTTCATATGGCGTCTCCTTTAACCTGGTATATTGTACTTAAATCATTATCAATTGTCCTCTTTTACTTCGCAAATTTTCTAAATTTTTAAAACTTTTCCAAGACGAACTTATGGCTTCTTTCTGTCCCTCTCAATATTTAACTCTTGAACTCTTTCTTGAAATAAAATTTTACGGTTCTTGTTTAGACTTATGGAAATCGTATATATGGGATAACTCTCCAAGACGATCTTGAGTTTTGATTCTGTCCCTTTTATTCTCCCTCTTCTTGAATTCTTTTTAAAAGTAATAATTTTGTATTTCCCAGCGCTTTCTTTTATAACAGGCTATCTTATAGTCGATAACACTTGATATTATTATTTTTTTTTTCTTACTTCGATTATTTTTTTCAAATTAGTTTATATTCCCAAAATTGTTCCGAGACGATCTTATGTTTCTTTTTTGCCTTTCTTCCTCTCTGTCTCTCCCTCTATTGCTTCCTCTCTCTTTTTCACTCTCCCTCTCTCTCTCTACTATATATCACTATGTTTTGACAGCTTCACCACGTTGAATTTGAGTAGTTGCTCCTCCTATGTGGACACAAACCCCTTTCTTGAGTGGAAAAAAGAAGAACAAACATACTGAATATTTTTTTTCTACACTCTTGACTTGTTCGATTCTCATGCACATGTTGGCCAGGGCTCGACACAGACGCCAGATGAGTTTGAGTTGAATTGTGTGTGTGCTGGTGTGTGGGCGATGTAAATTCTTATGCATACATACATACATACTCTTAAAAATATGTACATATGCATGTATGTATTCTTACAGGCCACTGTTGAAAATATTTGGTAGTCGTATTTTTTTTCGAGTGAGAGCTATGCTTGCGGGCAGGGGGAGGGAGAGGGGGAGGCTTTGGGGCATGCTCCGTGATTGTTGTTGGGCGGCTGCCTCGCATATTGGCAGTTGACTGCAAATGGGCGTAGTGTTTGGCATGCTCATGGCACATCCTTGCCAGCATGCGGCAGGAGCACTTGTGTTGTTTTTGGTATGGCAACAATTTTTTGATGATGTTGCAAAAGTCGAAAGTGCCCCTGCCACTGGCACCGCTCCTGCCCCAGCCACTGTTACCCTGCCAGCAGAGCCCTGGTAATTGAAGCTGATGGAATTTTTGAGTAGTTTTCTATGTAGATATTTCAAATTTTTATTGATTTAATTATTTGTTGTCGTTTGTCATTTGTTTGACTGATATCAAAGTTTTTCAGCTCTTAATGCAGTTACACTCACATATATGTTATATGCGCAACTCTGGTTCAATACAGAGTTAGTTCAGTTTTTATTGCATTTACGATTTCGAGCTTCTTTGGTTGTGCACATTGTGTGTGCATGTGTGTGGCTTTCAGGGCTTATGTGGCAGTAATTGAATGTGCTGCTGCCAATTCTGCAATATTGGAATAAAGGTTGTGGCTGCACAGATGAAGTTATCATTTAAAAGGCTTAAGGACAGGCTCTGGCCCTCAATTGTAAATTATTCATATTAGAAATTTATCTATTATTGAAATGTTACAATTATGCCACAGCCAAGCAGGCCTTCGACTAGCAATAGCTGAGTTCTCTTCGATTTCAATTCAAACGAGTTCGTTACTTAGCCAGCTTAATGATTGCAATTAATATTGAGTCGCGTGTTTAAACATTAGATAAACTTATCGCAGCTGTTGGGCAGTTTTTGTGCTCACACACACGCACACATATATTTGCCTAAATTGGTTAATGTTTTATCATCTCGTTGCTATCTGGCACACAATTCATTAGAGGCATTTATAATCTCCACTCAAGCAACGATGTTCAGTTTCCCAGGCTTGTTCTTCTTCGTCCGCCCCCGCTTCTGCTCCACTGACACATTGCCCAACATTATGGAGTGAAACTTTTCTGCTTACAGCTCACAGCGTTTCCATCATCTAATTACAACTGAAATTTTCACACACCTGAGGCAGTTGCAATTAATTTGCCCCAATTTATATCATCAACCCCCTCACAGATTCGGCATCCCCTACACCCACATCCACACCGACGAGGTAGTCCTGTTGCGTGTTTTGTTGCCCACAATTACATGCCAGCATTTCATTAATCATATCACACGCTGCGCCATTTGCCATTTAGCTGGCTAATTAAAAGTTTGCACAAAACATTTAACATAAATTCCAGCAAATTTATATGCACATAGATATATATGTATATGTATATATTTTGTATCTATGCAGGAGATAGACCTTTTCGAACTGCCTGTCTGTCTGACTGTCCGTCCGACTGTCTGTCTGTCTGTCTATCTTTCTGACTGTTTTGCAATCTGCAAACGCATAATTCAAGATCTGTAACGCGCAGTTCCGTTCCCGCTCCCATTTGTGTTCCCGTTCCCGTTCCCCTTCCCGTTGCTGTTTTGCACAGTTTCCCTTTTAATTTTACATTATCTACCTCTACACACACACACACACACACATACACACACACACACACATGCGCACACCTTGACATGTTGCTCGCTTATCGCAACAGCAGCCAAAAGTCGCGCATACGCCGCGTATGCCGAGAGAATTGTGAGCGTTGCGCGCGGCGACGGAAATTAAAAATACGCGCTGCAATGTTGCAAGCACCCAAGCGACGTTATCAAAATCAGCGTGTGCGTGGGCGCCAAGGGGCGTGGCAGTGCCAGAGGAGCGACGGCAGCGTTCCCGCCTGCGGATGACGCGTTGTGGGGTAATTATGCAAAAGGAAGGCGCATAAATTTGCAATATTCTCAGCTGCTGCTGCTGCTGCTGCTGCTCACTTGTGCTCCGAAAATGTTTCAAATGCCAACGACGTTTTAACTGCTCACAACTTTTTATGCGTGCAGCTCAAATGCCGCCAATTCCGTCTTTAGAACACTTTCCCCACGCGGGTAGCCACAACATTGTCGTCTTGTTTGCAACAGAATAAAATTTTAAGTGGAACATAATATTGAAATATATTTCGCCAAGATAGTTTTCTATTCACTGCAGCTGTTCCAACCATATACTAATAATAGCTAATTTTCTAAATTAATTTCCAACAAGGTTTTCATTTCGTTGTTTGGTGACCGAATTATTGAATAAATTGTTAGTAGTTGGCAATTACTTTGCAGTAATTCGATTTTATAGCAATTTAAGCATTAAAACATAATTATTTATGGTTTAATTAGGTTAACTGCAAAATAGTTCAATTTGGTTAGGGATTTAAACTTCGGCCAGATGCTGACTAAATTTTCATTCAGTTTAAGTTGCATGCCATGACTGCGTAGTGCGTGCAGAGTAGGAACTTTGTGGGCGGGGGGGTTACTGTTGGGAGAGTTCGTCCTGCTCGTGGTCGTCGTCGTCGTTGTTGTCAACGCACACGTTTTTTTAATTGCTGAAATTTTATCACACCTTCATGGCTGGCAGGACTCGTAAATTGTAATCCTTGTGCGCACTCTGCAAGGCTTCTGCTTGAGCAACGCTGAAGTTGGCGTCGACGTCGCCGTTTTCTTTGCCCTCGTTTGCCCTTTCTGTGCTCGATGTTGTCATTAACGTCGCTGCCTCTTAAGCATTTAATAGCCTTGTCAAGACTTTAATGCCTTTTAGCTGCCGCCCCCTAATATGTGAAAGAGCGGCGCGGTAAAAAAAGAGTGTAGAATATGGAGTGCGAGTACGAGTGCGAGTGCGGGTATAAGTGTGTGTGCGAGTGTGTGTGTGGGCGGGCGGTGGATGTGTGGGTGGAAATCAATAAAAGCAACGGCAAATTAAGCACCTTTGCGCTGCTTCTCGAACAACCAAGCCACAACGTGAATTTAATAGGATTATGCAACATTGACGTTGCGAGCAAAGCCAAACAAACTTATGTAAAGCCTGTCACTGCACTTAAGAGCAGCAGGGGGCTGTGTACCCGCCCAGCCCAAGACTGAGCCTTGAACCCTTTCGGCATCATAACATGCGCCTAATTGTGCTGATTTTCGCTTGATGAAAACTTTTGACACACACACAACAAGCATGCCGCCCATCAGCAGCGGCAGCAGCAGCAGCAGCAAGTGGCAGACCCAAGTTTTGTTACGCCAAAAACAAACTTTAGCAATTTATGATAATTCAACGTCAGCTGGGACAGTTCAGTGTTCACTGTACAGTGTTCACTTGAAGTACTCGGTATATATCGAAGTATGCAAGGGTAGCATCAAGGCTCAGGCCCAGTTCCCAGCCCATGACTGAGATGCTGCTAATGTAAGCTGGCAGGCGAGCTGGCAGGCAGGCAGTCAACCATCAACAACAACTGACAGCTGGCTAGCAGCGAAACGCTCAAGCGATAGAGAGAGAGAGAGAGACAGAGAGGGAGAGAGAGAGAGAGTGCTAGCACGAGGCAGATTGATAGAGGAGAGAGATTCTTAAAATATGCTCGTAGCACACATTAAACTTATTACCCCCACAACATAACCCCTTAACTCTTTGCCAGCGCCTAGTCATACCCACACACCCACACCACACATACACACACACACACCCGCCCAGTCTCTTTACATGTTCAGATTTTGCT